TTGGATTTACATCGACTAACTTACGACGTGATCTATGGTATGCGAATTTGGGTTGTAACAAATTAATAGACTTATTAACTATACTTATTTTGACATGACCTATATAGTATTTTTAGATTATGTTAATTTTTATTATGGCTTATTAATTAGCAATATTTAATTTATTCAATTTTATTATCTTTGTTATTGAATGTTTTAATATAATGCTATGCCCTGTCTCATATTATTGTGTTATTTTCTTGGAAAATACATTATATAGTTGTATCTTACTAGGACTAAAGAAATATTTGAAGCACAACATATTTTGTGCTATGAAGACTTTACCGTAAAAAAACCCGAAAACCCGAAAAAATCAAAAAACCTGATTTTGTTGGTTTGGTTTGGTTTATAGATTTAAAAATCAGAAACCATTGGTTTGGTTTGGTAATTGAAAAATTCGAACCAACCCGACCTATTTACACCCCTAACTGAGGTTTCTCTGACTATCAATGTATAAGGTTATATCTTATGAATTATGAATCAAAGTTAACATACCTCTAAGCAAAAATACCCTTGTCGAGTCATTTATTATATTCTAGCATACTATTCATGTACAATTATTAATCGTATAATAATTCATTTATTATAAATCTCTCAATAACTAGTTCATGAACCAACGACTGACTCCCAAAGAAAAGGTGAAACAATTGATAAACGAAATGAATCCGAGCAATTAATGGAAAGATCTGGGCGGATCCCGCACTCCTGTAGTTTTAGGGGGGTAAACTTAGCCAGAGCTGGCCACAATCCGCAGTAGCAGAGATTCTGATTTTTTTTATATACTAGACTTTACACATAGGTAAAATTGCATGTTTGGTTCTTCAATTATTGACAAAGTTCAATTACGATTTTTGCAATACCTAAAATATTTTAAAATTTGCAATATACAGTTTAATCTTTAAGTAATTGATATATACACTTCCAGTCACTCCAATTACGAATTGTCAATAATTTAACAGATTGTAAGTGTTGTCCCATAAAGTTACACTGAGCCAACCAATGTGACTAACTTGTGCTATGTTAAGTGAAAGCTATTCTGGTAACATCTTATTCACCTTTAGCAGGAGGAATGTTACACTGTGACAATTTTACAATTATCTTTACTAAGACATGGAATAAAAAGCACTAAAACAACGTCCAGCTAATGTAACACAGGAATACTTACATGGTACAGATCTTTTTTCTGCACCAATATGCTTTTTGCTTTTGGAGGAATATGATAATCGATAACCATTCTGATCAACAGCACCCTATTATTCTTTAAAATCTGCTGGAACCACAAATGTTGGTCAAAGTAACACAAATCTGATCACTCTTCCTATATTGAATGAATGCACAGAAAGCAGTCTAATTGAGTTGGCAGTTAATATAGAAGTGCATCAAGGTTCCGCTTCCCTTCAGGCCCTTTTGTGTACCATGATGAAACATAGTCGCCATAAATCACTGGGTGATATTTAGGCGGATTGAATGCTGGAGAAATTTGCCTAGTCTTTGCAGGGTCATGAAAAGTGGCAACTGAAAGCCGGGCTCTTCTAGCATTCGTCACTGCCCGATGTTGAGCACTTCTATACTCACCGTTAGATACGATCTGCAGGAAAAGAGCACTTACATTATTAAGATCATCGCAAACATGACCCCTTGGGATTTAGGAAACATTAGCACAGATACTAACAGACATATAAAAAATGCCGCTTGAAAAATGGCATTGGCCTTCATTAGTGGTCCCTTAAGTATCAGATACCCATCCCTTTCTTCAGGATTTTGGTCCAGGACCATGAATCACTCAATAGGATGATTTAGGAAACATTAGCACAGCTACTAACAGACATTTCGAAAATGCCACTTGAAAAAAAATGGCATTGGCCTTTATTAGTGGCCCCTTAAGCATCAGATACCCATCCCTATCGTCAGGATTTTGGTCCAAGACCATGAATCTCTCAATAGAAAGACAGCTGGATTAGGGTTAATAGCTACAACAGACACTTAGAATATGTTCTTCAACAAATGGCATTTGCCTTTATTAATGATCCCTTAAGCACCAGGTACTCATCCCTTTCCCCTGGATTCTGGTGGACAATCTATTTCTCCATTTGAAAGTCAACTGGATTAAGGTTAACCTCATAACTAGCCCTTCACATGGTTGGAGGGTGGAATGGGAAATGAGAGGTGAAAAAGGAAACCACAAAGTCACAAACAACACCAGCACATGCATCAACACATTCGTCTATACACAATAGTTATTGAAAATGATTTCAACTTCAGATGTACAGTTTTTTCTTCGTTGATCAATAAATAAAGTGTTAGTTTTATTGTTAATAAAGTAAGTAAAATTTTATTAATGAATGGGGAAAAAGGCATTCACATATGTAAGAAGTATACCAAAAACGTAGAGAAAAAGAGATGATTTTCTATGAACAACACTCAATCCTCTATACATAAGGGAACCCTATAGGTGCACCAAAAAGAAATAAGTGAAAAGAGATAACTCCTCAACTGAACAAAGTTCATCTCAACACCCTCAAAGCTCTCCTATTTCTTTCCTTCCAAACGACTCACATAAGCGCTATCGGCGTACTCTTCTACACCATGTGTCTTCTCCTTCTGCCATAATTCCTGCTGAACATTACCTCTTTCACCATGACTGGCATCACCCAAGATATACCGAACCATCCCACCTCAACCTCATACTACCGGACAGTGTATGAGTAGGTGGTCAACATCTTCATCCGAACCCTTACACATAAAGCACCATCTGGCATAGGCAACTTCCTTTTTCCCAAATTCTCTATCGTCAAGATCAACCCTCTTGTAGCTAACTAAGTAAAAAACACACACCTTTCTCGGTATTTTTCGGATGCAAATCAAACCATGCGGGAAGTCGACCTCCTCAAAATTCAAAAGCTTTTCATAATAGGACATAGAACACTCCATTATTCCCCATCCCCATCCTCCATAAGTCGTGGCTATCCTGTGGTATGCTTTGTTTGTTGAGTGTTATCAAAAGCGAAAAGCGCAAAAAGGCTCTAAGGTCTATTGGGGCTTTAAGCACAAAATGCAAATAAAGTGTGGGCTTTAATGAAGAAAGACGCAAATAGAGAAAAAATACAAATATATTATGTCTTACCCAACAATAATAATTATAAGCACGAATAACAAAGATGTGGACTAAGAAATTGAAAATCAAATTAGGATAAAGAGATATATCAATTGTTTAGTGTCACCTCTTCAGGGTTACACTCATTGGTAAGGAAAAGTATGCCTTAGAACCTTGATCACGACACTGAAGTGCCCGTAAAGCGAGCAAAGCGCTCAACATATTTTTTGCTCTCTTCAGGCCCTTAAGCGCGCTTTGAGTGCGCCTTTGACAACAGTAACTCAATCAGACTGTTAGCTTTTACTAGCATGCAACTCAAAAACATGCTCTCTCTCGTACGTACATACATTGATAAGTAAAATAAACACTCAAACACTTGCTATTCAAAAAGGAATCTGCTCATTTATCTATGCGAAAATACTGATATGTGGAAAAAAAACTCTTTTGATACAGAGTAAAATGCAGAAGATAAAGAATATAAATCCCTAAACGAAAATTATTTGAAATACAATGAAAAAGGCTATGAGGTGAGTTGTAAGAAGAATCTAAAAAAACGCACTGCAGATAGCTGGCTTTGTAGGAGATGAAAAACACAGGAAGCTTGATGTCTTTAACCATTTATATATTTCATTTATAATACAGACAAGGATCTTCTGGGTAAAATATTTTTTAAAGTTTTGCTGTCTGCAAATTTGAATCAATTAGTATTAGAGGAGGGAGAATTTATTTTACCAATAAAAATAGAAAATATAAAGAGAAAGGTTTCAATTAGCCTTCTTTTTTTTGGGGTGGGTGGGGNGAGTTACAGGGAATCACAAACACAAATTATATTACCAGTTTAGTCTGAACTTGGAAGATAGAAATAAAATAGTTCAAGTAACAGCTATAACATTCCAAATAGAATACAAAGAACCGCACACCACAACACTTCGCACCTCCCCTTCCCCCCCATAAAAAAAACCCCCGAAAAAAGGTGATAGACAAACTTCTACTTTTAGAAGTCGTAGAAACCACTCCATGAACCAACCTTTTCACATATCATTAGCACCAACTAAGTAGTTGATGTATTTACCTCTCGTATTTTACATTTAGGGCTGCTAACAAACGCTGCTTGTACGTGAATACTACGGGGTACGAGTCAAAGGTGATAAATTTAAAAATGCCCAAGAAGAAGCAGGGACAGAAAGCTGGGAAATTGTCGATATAACTGGACAATTATGTGGACTGTATGGGAAGCAGAAACTTGAAGAACTTTTCAAGCTAAAGATCCATATTCATAGGATTGTGAAGTTCTTTGTAGACTTTTTGGAGCTTCCAAGTCTACATGTATAGATGATATGGCAGGTCATGTAGATACTAACCTGAACCTATAGTATTTTTTTTAAAAGAAAGTAACAGTAACTTGAACCTACAGTATTCGTAAATGGGTTAGCCTTTTTGTCAATTAAACCAAATCAACATCCCTATGTCATCTCATGAGCTTGCACGCTAGGCTCAGATACCAATTGACAATTATTTTTATTTTAAGTATAAATCTATTGAACATTGTAAATCTAAGTATAGTACATATCTTACAGGACATTGGTTTTGCTAATATCAAGGGCCAGCTTAAGAACTTAATAAAAGAGACAAAGTCAAGACCAATAATAGAATACTTTCTTTTCACTCTTTCTTCTGTGGTGTTTGGACAGCTCTTTGGAAAAGTTTGTAGAATTGTTTTGTTTTCACATCCAAAGAACTCCTTTCCAAAGACAGATGGTATTTAAAGATCATTTGAATCTTCCCAAGCTTGGGAGACTTGTTGTCTAAAAATCTTACTTAAGATGATTTAAGGAAATGACAGAAAGCTGGATGCATATCGTAACAGTATGATAGTATTATATTATTATTTAAGAACTTACAGAAAACACAGAAAAATCAGTGCAAGAAGCTATGAATTAATCACTAACTATAACGAGAAACAGTACCTCAGTTTGGTCCGCTAAGATGACACAAATAGCATCTGACATTGGATTTACGGTAACCCATTCTCCATTGTTGAAAACCTCAAGACCCCCTACATCATCTTGGATGAGAAGAGTAATGGCACCCATGTCAGAATGTGATTGCAGACCAAGAGTAAGCTCCGGTTGAGGGCAAGGTGGATAGTAACTCATAGTGATGTTTTGGTAGAAATCGCCAACAACATTTTCTATGGACTGACATGTCAAGCCTAGACTCTCAGAGACTAAACCCAGAAGTTCTTGCGCAAGGGCTTTCATGTGATCGCTATATGCTGTCACAACTTTTCTGCAATAAATTGACATTGTTAGTATTACACCATTTAGGGAAAATTGGAGAACTTATGAAGAAGAAAACCCATGAAGAGAGGGACACTCAATGCAGAAGTTTACAGGCACATATCCAACACATACGTGTATATATCGACTTTACATATGTGCAGTTTTTCTTTTACAAATTTTACTCCCTCTATTTCAGTTTATGTGTCTTACTTTTCTTTTTAGTCTATTTCAAAATGAATGCCTCTTCCTGTATTTATTAACTCTTTAACTCAGATTCCACATGACATATTTAAGACCACAAGATTCAAAGGCATCTAGGTACATTACACACATCTTTAATTTAAGACCACAAGATTCAAAGTCTTCCTTACTTTTCTTAAATTTTGTGCCCATTCAAACTAAGACACATAAAAATGAAACGGAGGGAATAGTTTATTTTGAGGAAATCCACATGAAATACTCACCAAAGTCACACCTGTTCAATATGGCCAGATGAAAGATCTATGTAAGGTTGATAAGGCAAAACAGGATTTAATTTTCAAGTCCCTTTATTTCTTTCTTTTTGCCTTTTCAATTTTGTTTTCCTCTCATTTAGAATTCTCAATTGAACTGGCTGTAACTTTGGCTCAAATAAGTTATATCATACAGATTAAGGGTTCTTTAAGTACCTTTTAAGGGGCCTTACCTAAAAAAGGTATCTTAAGGGCTATTTATTAGAATTGAGCTTAATATTGCTTTGCTAAATAAAGAAATCCTTAACCAAGCACCAGGAGCAGACATGCACATTTAGACAGAGCAACATCCCTTCGAGCAATAAAAAGACAACAGTAGGATGCACACCAAGTCAACAAAATACCAAAGCAATTTTGGTAGTACAAAGAAGATCTTGAGGCTTAAGAAGAGAAGAATCTTCATTCGCATTTAGTTTGGCATGGAAAAAATGTAGGAACACCAGTACACAAAAGCAACTTGATGATGGTGACTTGGGACAAAGTGCGCAGCAGCTTTTAGGGTCAAAATAATGCAGATCAGGGTTAAAAGGGGTAGGAAATTGTTGTATTAAAGGTGTTTTAATTGTGGTAATAGCTTAGAAGATCTTTAAGCATGAAACGAGCTTAGAAATGAAAAAACTTATATTCCTATTCTGAACAACTTCCAGTTACTATTACTTCAACTAGTTTCCATTCAAGAATAGATTAACACTTCTACAGCTTAGCGCTGCAGGAATTCCGGGGAAGTTACCAATTACTTTTCGATCCCCGGCCATGGCATTTATATATATAGTAGAAAATGAATATCCCAGAAAAACAATCTTAAAAGCATAAAATACCCATTACGGACTCCAACAGAGAATCTAAAGAGGTATTAAAAGGACTCAAGTTTCTCCCTACTAATCAAATAAGTAAACCTCCAAAATTTGCATAATCTTTACCCTTGCATTTCCTTTAGTATTTTATGCTAAATGGTAAAGCCTACATAAAGTAAAAGCCATATGAGCTACTTGATGAAGTAAAGCCATCATCAACTAAAATTTATAAAGCACTTTTTTTATAACAATAGTATCTTGGCCAACTTGAGCGCACCTTGATTGTACCCGGTAAATTTATCCACCAAAGTTTAGTGTTTTTCATCTCCGGATTTGAATCCTGATCTCTCATGATTTTCATCCACATGATTGATCACTAGCCCACAACATTGGATGCAACAAAGTACCTTTTCAATTAAAAAGAACTATTTTTCCCTAGGTCTAATTTTGTTCAGAGTCAGCTCGGTAAGAGAGAACAGTGAACCTGTAATCGGCAGGAGAGTCAGGCCATCGAGAAGGATCGCGACGAGATAAGGGCAAAGTGTGGTGATCGAAATAATCTCTCCAGTCCAAAACGGTGTCATTGGACGCTACGAGCATGCGACTGCCATATCCTTCAGAAGCAGCAGAACCAGAATCGCATGAATACCTAAGCTTCTCTTCCATCGTACGCTCTTCAAAGAAAGTCCGACCTACACGCCTCATATCATCTAACAAACCAACCGGAACCCTATGGTTTATCACGTGAAATGCTCCCCATTCTTTGCACGCTTTTCTAAGTTCTTCGAGAAGGTTCGTTCGTGGATTACTGAGATCTATTAATGGTATTGCCTTTACGTTAGAAATAGGTTTAGGGTTAGGGTTTTCTCTTTGCGGTCTGCTTTCCGGTGGTTGTACGTAATGAGATGGTACGGACATTTCACCTTTTTCTGCCAATGATTGTACTCTCAGAGCCTCCATGATTTTTAGTTAGTAATTTATAAATACAGGGATGATCGGAAAATTGTAGTTCAGTGGTTGAGGTTCGGCGATTGGAGAGGGATGGCCACCGGAAATGGCCGTGTGCGGAGGAGGAATTGAGATTGATAAACGTGACGGTAACAGAGAATCTGAAATCAAATCACGTTAAACTTTTACATGATGCTCCACTATTTTCTTGTATTTATAATTTAACCCCATAAACTTTTAAGTTAAGGGCAAACGATCCCTTGAGAGTAGATATTTACACAAAAAGACAATACGATTACTTTATGGTTAAAGTGAACAATGTAATGACAATTTTCGCGCTGTTATGAAAATAATTATAATGTGGATGTCCATTTATTATTCCGCTATAGATAATCTTTCTGAAGAAGAATATCTGTTTGCTACTCTATTGAAGTTTATCTACAAACAGCTGATGCAGGCAGGTTGCAATCAACTTAATAAAATGATTTGCATCGACTTCTTATTAAACACGCAAGTTGCAAGCAGCTCATGCAGACAGCTTACAAACAGCTCAAGAAAAGTCTCGCAGCTGTTTCCTTTCTTCTATATATAGAGGAGTTTTCAGTTCATTATGTATATCAGTTTGAACTTGAATAATATATCAGTTTCTCTTTATACTTGTCTTTATTTTACAGTTTTTATTTTATAACACGTTATCAACATGAGACTCTGACATCTTGAGCACTTTATTTGAGTTTAATTTCTTGTGCATGAAGCAACTCACAGCCATAGAGAAGGCGGGAAAAACATTGGCTAATGGCTACTGTCAGGTAGTATCATTCCTTTATACTCACTCATGTTTCCTACTAGCTAAGTTTATAATCCGCATAAGATCATATGTGCACATAAAATGATCGTTAGGTAACCATCTGGACATTTCTACTGTAATTATCACATGTGATCTTGAACAACTTGTAAATTTTAAAATACCTTAATTTGTATACTTATATGTTCTGTTTTATACTTCCATGATTTTGAATTAAGGTTCTAATTTTACTCATGAAGAGTAATATCGCAGAGGGGATTACAAAGTAAATAACATTGTTAGATTCACTTAAAATCTAGTAGAGTTTACAAAAAATATACAACCATCAGAATTGGTTATATTTCGTATATCTCATTGTAACTAAATTCTATTAACCACCAGAAGTGGTATATACCTATAACCACCAGAAATGATAATTTAGGCTGGCTATGGTTACAATAAAGATAATTTAGAGAAAAAAATATTCTATATATTACATGCATACCTCAATTTTCTCCTGAAGTAGCAAGTATATTAGAAGAGGTTCAAAGCCATCACAATTTGATATGGTTAATGCACGTTCAGAAAATTATATTCCATTTCCTGAGGGATGAGAATTTTTGATAAATATTAATCCATTCCCTGAAGTGAATGTGATTATATTAATAAAGCCGTAAATATGAACGTGCTCTTAATGTAAATATATTACAATTCACCTCCAGAAGAGTTAATATGATTGAGAGAATATATACTCAATATTTCGTATTTTAAATTTGCTCCTGAAGAAGTAACACAATTGAAATTTTCTCCTGAAGTAGGAAAATATTTTGAAGCAGTGTCTTTCTATGCTTAAACAAAATAATGATCTATTCAAAGTTATTTTTAAAGCATATTTTCATTCCCTGGAGTGAATGAAGAAATACCACAACTCACCTCATGAATAGGTAGAATAATAGAGGATATAAATATTATTTTTGTAGCATAAAGATCATTGCCACACGTACCTGTTGTACGTAAAACATCTTGGATAATTTTATTAAGTATCATTCTAAGGCAAAACATGTGATGACCCGATAGGTCATCTTTAAATTTAATATTAATTTTTGTATTATGAGACCTCGAATAACACCATTTAGCATTCCACGATTTTCATGCACAGTTTGTATATTTTTCCAGAAAGTTTTTATGTGAAAAATTGATAAAAATATAAATAATGCTTTAAAACTTATTTAAATTGACTTCGGCCAATATTTTTAGCAAACAGACCCGGATCAGTGTTTTGATAGTTACGGTAGGTCCGTATCGTAATTTGAGACTTGGGCGTATGCCCGAAATTTAATTTGGAGTTCCCTAACTTGAGTTATCGCCATTTATTAAAAATTAGAAGCTTGAAAGCTTAAAGATTTCAAAGTTTGACCATAAATTGAGTTTGGGACTTACATGCAAAATTTGGGGTTATTCCGAATTGATTTAATATGTTTCGGTACAAATTATAGAAGTTGGAAGTTTGATCATAATTCGATTCGAGGTGCGTTTCGTAGTTTTGATGTTGTTTGACGTGATTTGAGGCCTCAAATAAATATGTACGATGTTTTAGGACTTGTTGGTGTGAGCTTGTAGAAGCGAGTCTGACATTGCAGAAGCGGACAAAACGTCGCAGAAACGACAAAATGATCGCAGATGCGGCCTGGGCTAAGGGGGCATTGGACTGCTGAAGCAGACGCTTCTTCGCAGGAGCGAGTTCGCAGAAGCAGACTCTTGTCCACAGAAGTGAGCCAGCTCGCAGAAGCGGCCACCAACCTCGCATCTGCGAGACCGTAGATGCAGAAATAATGGCAATGTTAAAAACAGAGAGTTCCTATATTTTTGCCATTTTGGACATTTCAAGCACGGTTTGGGGCAATTTTTCTGAGGGAATTCATGGAAAAACTTGAGGTAAGTCACTTGTGATCATTGTTAGTCAATAATACTAAATTATCAACGAATATTCTGACTAGTTTACGTGTTTTTGAGGTGAAATTTGAGGATTTTGACCTAGGGATTTGAAAATAAGATTTGGGGATTTGAAGGTCAAGTTGATATTGAAATTTGGTAAAATTTATGTGGTTGGACTCGTAGTTGAATGGACATTCATATTTTGTAACTTTTGTCGGGTTTTGAGACGTGGGCCCTACTGTTGATTTTTTAATTGAATTTCGGATTTTAATTGGAAAATTTAGTATTTTCATATATAATTGGTTTCTATAATTCGTGTTGAGTATATTGAATTGCTTGTGATAAAATTCGAGGCATTCAGACACTAATTTGCGAGGCAAAGGTTTATTGAAATCTTGAGTTGGTTGCAAAGCGAAGTAAGTATCATGGTTAACCTTGACTTGAGAGAGTAAGACTTGTTTGTCTATTTGCTATGTGATTTAATGTGCGGGTATAACGTATATGTGAGGTGACGAGTACTTATGCGTTGTGGTTGAGTCAAAGCATGCGGGTGAAATTTATTCATTGTGAATAATTGCCTATTTAATTAAGATATTCCTGCTTAAGTTTACTATTGTTTATTTGATCATTTTTCATGAAATTATTGCCAATTTAATTATTGTTGAATATTTTGGAAAGTGAAGTCGGTATTCTGGTATTGAATTGATTGATAAGTATAGATCCCCGCATTTTAATACTCTTTCGAATTTATATTATCATTTTCATGGTAAGGAAGAGTGTAAAAGTACGAAGGGTAATGCCGTGCCATTTATACTATTTATATTATTATTGTCATAGTAAGGAAGAGAATAAAAGCATGAAGGGTGATGCCGTGCCATTTTCATATTATTAAATTATTGATTTATAAAGTGAGGAAGAGGGTTAAAGCACGAAGGGTGATGCCGTGCCATTTAAATTATTTATTTATCATACTGTGGCAAGAAAGAGAGTTAAAGCACGAAGGGTGATGCCGTGCCATTCATATTATTTATGTATCATTTTATGGGAAGGATGAGAGTAAAAGCACAAAGGGTGGTGCCGTGCCATTTTATTATTTTAGCTACCTATTTTGATGTTGGTGAATTATTTGGCTGCTACATGACACTTCCTTGTCTGAAATTTTTATACCATTTCCCTTCACCTGTTCCCTCCCAAATTTTGTAAAATTTGTTAATTGTTGTGTTCAATATTGCTTCGTATATGTATATACTTTCACAAGTGTTTTACGTATGTGTTTTGTCATAGCCTCGTCACTACTTCGTCGAGGCTGGGCTCGACACTTACGGAGTACATGAAGTCGGTTGTACTCATACTAAACTCTGCACTTCTTGTGCAAATTTTGGAGTTGGTCCTAGTGGCATACCATAGACTTGCACGCATTCAGCTACCCAGAGGAGACTTGAGGTATAACTGCATAGTGTTCGCAGTTCTGAAGTCCCCTTCTACTTTATCTTAGATGCATATTATCTTTCAAACAACTTGAATTTTATTGAGACCTTTATTTGTATTATTCTAGTAGCTCGTGTACTTGTGACACTAGATTCGGGGATGTATTTGAATGATACAGTTGTTATGGTCTTCCGCACTTTATTTCAGTAATTGACTTCCGTTTAATTTGATTTGTTTAAAAATGGCTAAGATTATTCTAACATTGGCTTGCCTAGCAAGTGAAATATTAGGTGCCATCACGATCTCGAAGGTGGGAATTTTGGATCATGACAAGTTGGTATCAGAGCACTAGGTTACCTAGGTCTCACGAGTCATGAGCAAGCTTAGTAGAGTCTGAAGGATCGGTATGGAGACGTCTGTACTTATCTTTCAGAGCCTATGATGTTTTGGAATAATATCACTTCTTTCTTATTCTGTCGTGCGATTTTATTCTATCATCGATGATTGAACTATTCTATTCTTGTTCTCTCACAGATGTGAGAACACGTACTACATCTACCGCCGGACAAGAGCCAGAGCCCCAGGCCGAGGTAGAGCTCAGTCTAGAGCTCGAGCAACAACACCTGTTGTAGAACCTCGGGTGGATTTGGAAGCGGAGGTTCCAACTCAGACTGTACCTGTTGGACCAGTTTAGGTCCCGAAAGAATTCATAGCTACTCTAGTGCTTCAGGACTCTCCAGTCCGTTTGGTGAGCCTTATGGAGGGTGTGGCCCAAAATGGTACATTTCCAGTGGCACCAACCGTCTCACAGGCTGGGGGAGGAGCACAAACTCCCCTACTTCCGCTCCGGAGCATATGGCCCCTCAGTATCAGGATCCAACAGCCCCGCTAGTTAAGGTATTTCAGCCGGTGGTTACGGCACAGGCCGGTGATAGGCCCGCCATATCTTCTGAGGCTTTATTGAGGTTGAACAAGTTTACTAAGCTCTTTGCAGTTCACTTCAGTGGTGAACCTT